CCCTCGATTGTAGGTTCTGATAACTTTCAATTCGAACCCGCAAAAATTGTTGACTTTTGGATGTATAAACCAAAGACAAAACCGTTACGCGGGGACCATGCGAAAGTCGACTCTCCAAGCCTGGAATGTCCCGTCCACAAGTATCGTGCGAAAAGCCGACACGATGAGTCAGCCGTCCACGCCCTACGCAGGTATGGCCTGGCTGGCGTCGCGGGCGCCTCTGTTCTGGCCTCGGCCCTGGGCTATGGCCCGAGGCCCAGGAGGAGACAAAAGCAATTCCGATGATATGAATACGCACTTGGTTAAAATGCCATCAGGAAGGCACGAACAATGCCAACAACAGGAACAACAATCGAATTTAATGCAATTGCAAGCAACAACAAAAGACGCAACACGCAACACAAACGCACGATCAACAACCACCTGACGGAATGACAGCAAAGCATCGAAAAGATCATTCAACACAACCGTAACAACAGTTACATTTGTTGCCAATCTAAGGGCTTAGAAGAGTGTGCACCGGTGGTCTCGTAACCACAGTATTTGACCGTGCGAGTTGCAAATTAGCACGTTGAGGAATAATTGCAATGATTTGAGTCGTGACCGGCTCGGATAGCAGCAGTAGCAACAGTACTGGCGGTCGTCAGTGGCACTTGTAGAGGTTGTCGTTTCGATGCCGCAGGCACATAATGAGATTGTGCATACCCTCTTCGTGTGTCAGCATAGCATTGTCGAGATCATTATCGATATGATTATCCCCGCCGTCGTTGTCGACACGGTCAGCATCAGCACCTTTTTTTGTTATGCGAATACCTTATGAGAGCCTATACTGATTGGTGGTGGTTTCTTTTGTGTTTGTTTTGCTAACCGAAATTCTGTTGGTGCTAATTGCGTAGGCGGCCACCCAGTGCGCAACAGCACGTAATCTTAATCCGGCCAGTGCATCGTCGATGTTCTAATTCCTTGCTCGTGTCTGAAATATGCAAGACCCGGTCCAGCCTATTCAGGCAGTTTGGGGTTTCAGCAAATCCAAGTCAGGGTTGAATTGGTTTTAATGCGGCAGTCCTTGAGGCAACCGGATCCTGTGGACGCATAGCGGGACACGCAGGAATTTGCCACTCCAACCTCACATCTACTGGTGCAGTGTCATGCAGATTCCACGGGCATTGTCGATATCTTTAATTACACATGTACAAGAGCTGCATACATCTTCGCCCTTAAACAGCTGGTAAGGGTAGCTGGTTTAGGGTGTCAAGGTCTGCGGGGTTTGGGCCTTAGGGAGTTGAGGGCTTCCGGGTGTTTTTAGGGTGTTACGGCGGCAGGATCCTGTATCATGTAAATTAGAATATAGTATAGAAGCAAATAATCTGCTATATGGTATTTTTGCTCAGGATATCTGGTGTCTGCTCTCATCCAGGCCAGGATTCCGGCCTCCGGGTTGCAAGGTTCCGGTTTTTGTTTTAGAAGCGAAGTGAATATTGTTTTGTCCCATTTTCTTAATTCAAGTAGGTTTTCGGGCTTTAGGAGCTTAGGGTTCGAGGTTTGGAATTCATGGTTCACCGTGCCAGCGTGGATAGACATGTAATGCCGATCGCAGTCGCCACCTGCAAAGTCTGTGCGGCCAGTCCGGACTCTTAAGGCTTTTGAAGTTCTTGAGGCTTCAATCATTTCCAATCATACAGTTTTGTCTGTGGTTTGTGCGTATACTTACACATATACAGGTACACACATAGCATGTATACATATGTATGTATGTATGTATGTATGTATAGATAGATAGATAGATAGATAGATGGACGCGTGCGTGTGTGTGTGTGATTGTGTATGCATGTATGTATGTATGTATGTATGTATGTAGGTGGATGACAACACACTGTTGCTGCGTTTACGACCCGAAGCGTCTCCTTATACAGCTTATTCAGTTAAGTCAGGTTGGCTTCGGTTTCCACTTTCACACCTGTTCTCATCATGACGATGGCTACAATGTGCTGTAAGCCCTGTATATGTGTGTATAATTAGATAGATAGATAAATAGATAGATAGATAGATAGGTAGATAGACAGACAGATAGATTGATTGATGGATAGATGGATGCATAGACCGAAAGGTAGATACATAGGTACTTAGATACATAGATCACAGATAGATGCAGAGGGAGAGTTCGCCTCTCAGGCCTTGTGGTAGAAAGAGAGAGAACGAGAACGAGAAAGAGAAAAAACAAGAATACTGAACACCAAGACAAATATGTGTCGGCAAGCGAACCTCATAAGTCCCACACCCAACCCTCCGGACACCTGAAGCTCGAAATCCCCAACCCAGTTCCCGAAAATCCTTAATTCCGAAACCCTCCAAATCATTCGTCTGCGATGCTAACAGCCAGGCGGAGCGATGGCCTCGACCCTTTGCGTGGCCGCGGAAAGGCAGTTGGGCAGTCCCAGTTCAGTCTGGTAAAGACAACTTGACAACTGCGGGACAGAGGGCTTCCTGGAGTCAGGGGCCCAGATTGTGGCTTCTGGATACATTCTCCACAGGCAGAAGTTCTCACGGCTAAGACTGCAGAAGCGGCCGAGGCAATATCGTTCTCGCGTAATCATCATCTCCTGGTTAGTAAACTGGGCGTGTGCAATGACGAACCAGGTTCCTTTTGTGTTGTCTGTTTTCAGATCCACACGTGAAGCCTTATAGGCAGAACGAAGGCATATTCGCACTACTACTATCAAATTGCTTCAGTGCCTGGCGCAGCACGATATTAGTTTAATTTTGAAGGCCAAGGCTCTGCTAAAGCGACGAATCGAACTCTTGCAGAGAGCGAGTGTTGAGGAGCAACTGAAGGTGTCTGGGCCTAGAGTTCGGAAATGAAGTGGTGGAGGTCAAGCCACAGAGTCACAGAGCCCTTCCTAACCTTTTGAACCTTCGAAGTGCCACTCCCGTCATATTTGAGCCTTCGGTTCCATAGGCCCGAGACCATGAGCCCCTTCCCACCCTGCGCATGCTGGCAGCTCGGCACATGCTGCCTTTTCTGCGATTTGCTGGGCCAGTGCCCCCTGGAGTTTAGCCCAGACAGTCCACATCTTCACGTTGAAGGGAGTGCAGATGCCGGGAATCGGTTGCTCGGTCTTCTTTGAGGTCTTCTGGATAGTTTGTTTCACTGAAGCAATATCGTAGAGCTCAGCCCATACCGAGAACTCTTGAAAGTCAACATCGTGACGCCGTAGCACTACTATAGGTAAGACCTGGCTGTAGGAAACATCGTAGGAGGAGTACGTAGCCTAAAGCTGTCACACTGAGTTGAGTCTGATAGTCTGGATGTCGATTCTGCTTGCATCATGGTAGTTTAAGCCCATGCGCATACCTGCAGGGGTCATTGCATACCCAAACTTCATAGGTTATAGGAGCCACAACAGTCGAATTTGAAGAGGTTCAGGGAGAGTCGAAGCGGTCGTGTTACGCAGTGCGGTACTGTTGGTAGCTGTTGGCTGGGCAGAGAGGTCGATCAGTGCGGTCATCTCCTACTTCGAGAATGTACTGAAGCTTTGTAATCCACACACCGGACTGCAGTGATAGCCATGCTGGTTGCATGCATGCCTGCCAACTGTGCACCGCGGCCTGGAATTTATGTCCAAGAGCGAGTACGGCTTGACGAGACAGTTGCTTGCCTCCTCTCGCAGGGGGCTCAGGCCATGGGGTCTTCCGGTTTGAAGATTTTGGAGCCCAGAACCCATAGATGCCATTGGCAAGATGTCTTGCCTCATCTTGCAATGGAAATGGGGCAGCAGCTGCGGGCGGATATCGCTGGTCCACGTAGACTGAAACTGGCGTTTCTTAAGGTCTTCGAGGCTTTGTTTGAGATGTATCGCGGTGTTCGGAGCTTTTCAGGGAAGCTTATGGAACGGGACTTGACGAGGCTCTCCTGGAATAGGTTATACATATATGTATATGTATATGTATAGGTACATGTATATGTACATGTATATATTTGTATGTGTGTATATATATACATAATATACGTATAAGTACATATACATACATACATACATACATACATACATACATACATACAATACATTACTTGCATTACATTACATTACATTACANNATTACATTACATTACATACATACATTACATACATACGTACATACATACATACATACATACATACATACATACATAGACATACATAGACATACATACATATACACATACATACATACATACATACATACATACCTACGTACGTACATACATACATACATACATATATATATATATTGATTGATTGTTGCTCCGCGACCCAACGTTGGAGCAATCTGCTCGGTCTGCTTGTGGCCGTCCATGAACTGACACTGTTGTACCGGTTTTGGCGCAATTGGTCATTGCCTCGCGAAAGCGTGTAGCCTGATTCTCGCCCACCCGGCAACGCGAGGTTTCTCAGATGCGCGGTGGGGCCGGCATTGAGCTTGCGCCGAGGAGTTGCAAAGGGTGTTGTTTTTTGGCTCCGGGAATCGGGTTTACTGGCCTTTGGGTTCGCAGTTTGGGGCCTCCGGACACGGAGAGTTGTTCGAGTCCTAGTTTCAACCTTCGAGGTGTCGTACTTCGCATGTCCTTTTCGGAGCCATCACAGTCTCTGCATCAAGGTCGAGATGTTTCGGAGTTTACAGGGTGGGGCCTTGGAGCTAAGTAAAGCGTCCGTATCTCGAGGAAGGGTTCAGCATCTTGGGCACGTCACTCGCTTGAGCTTCTTTGGGCCCTTGCAACTAGCTAGGTTAAGAGAGCGCCTGCTTACCGTAGTTTTTTCCGTCGCCCTTAGCCTGGTGCCACTGCGCTTTGATCGTGGATTTGTTGTTGGCTTGCCGCAGCTGTTCGAGCTTAATACCTGCATCACATCGAAGTTGAATACTAGCAACTGCAAGTGCTCGATCGGACAGTGTTCCGAGCATCAAAGTACAGCATTTACACGATCTCCCCTGCTGGGTGCATTCCCAGCAAGTGCTTGCTGCCCATGTTGTCTCAAGCGAACCCAGCGTTGCAGCACCAGCCTCCGCCTTCACGGATTCAAGAGCCAGCTCCTGATCCGGGCCAGTTGGGTTTCGGTCTGGTCGCCCTGGACCTGGAATGTATCCATGATCACAAGCATGGCAGCTACGCGGCCATGAACTGGCATGAAACATCGGACCAATGGTCATGGAAGGCAAGGTGCCAGATCATCGAGCTGGGAGCAGTCAACCTGGTCACGGGCGAGTCGCTTCTGCTGAGGAGCCGACCAGAGTTTTCGTGGGACGATGTGAAGTCGGCGGCCACAAGGCTATTTGCCGAACACAGCGGCCACAAAGCTATTGTTTGTGATCAAGGGCTGCCGCTTTTCGCGCAGCTGTGGCCCAGCCACGTGGTGCCCTTCCTGCAGCGGGCTGCCGGCTGCACGGGCAAGGTGGTGCTCATTGCACACAACGGGGACCGTTTCGATCATTTCGTTCTCAGCAAAGAGATCACCCGGCTTGGTCTGGACATGCGCTGCTGTCCGCAGCTGATCTCTGCCGACCCGGTGGCGACGCTGACGCCCGGCTGTTTTGTCTCAGAACCGGTGTTGGCTTGCAGGTGAAGGGAGCGTGCTGCAAGTTGTGCGTTTGGTCATGCCAATCATGATCCTCCTTAGCATCCCGGTGCTAGCATTGGCAAGAACATGTCGATCTGCATACCCACAGCTGATTCTGTGGCCCAGTGAAAGTAGCTCCACCCACTACACTCACAATACGATTTTAATCCGACGATCATACTCGCAGATGACACACGCGCCTCTTAGAAACTCGAACCCTCAGGCACGTCTACGCTTAGCCCGCTGCCCAGCTAAAATCCGATACCTACCAAGACCAAGACTAGCACTGATTTTAGATGTACATGTTCACCAAGCCCTTATGTGGTACAATCAAACATGAAAGATTCACTGTACAAACTGTCACAGACACATGGACACACCCACCCTCACCCACACCCACACCCCCATCCACACCCGCGCCTGCACCCACACCGACACCCACACATAGGCAAACACACACACACATGCACGTAATACCTTTTCATACACATGTACATGTGTATGTTCATGCATATATATATATATGTATATGTATATACACATACATATACATATCCAACGGACTTGGCATATAGGCATATAGGCAAGGATGTTTAAATATACATACACGTAAGCATGTACATATAACATGTTTATACGCGTACCATACATATACATAAACATATGCATACTATGTATGTCTATGTTCCTGTATGTGATTGTAAGTAAGTGTATGAAATTGGAACTGTATTATACAAATACATGTACATGCCCATATACTCATAAACATGTCCATCCATACATACATACATACATACATAACCTCACATCTGAACATATGTACATGTGCTTATACATATCCATATGCGTAGGCATATGCATAATTTAGATGGTCACACATGCACATGTACATACACATGTACAAGCACATATTCACGCGCACACACACACATACATGCATTTACACTTACACATACACATACACACGCACATCACAATCAAAAACATACATTCATATATTTAGGTATGAGTATCTAACTAATTATCTATGTACATATATATATATACATATCTGTGATACACTGCCTCAATCCCTCTTCGCGCACGTCCGCGCGCGTGTGTGTGTGTGTTGTGGGTGGGTGGGGGGGGTGAGTGTGTGTGTGTGTGAGTGTGTGTCTGTGTGTGTGTGTGTCTGCGCAGCAGCCCAAATCGAGGACCAGGCCTGCCTGTCAATGTGACTTAAGAGAACCGTTGTGCGATGGCTTTGAGAACCCTGAGGGAACAGCACTTCGTGCTTGTCCGCTTGTGTGATCCCTGACTTCTCAGGAAGAAGAGGTTCAACAACCACGAGATTCAGCGACTCTACGGCCAGCCCGGTGGTCTGATGCTACAGCAGATGCATACAAATTTCGTGGCGGAACAGAGAGCGGCTGGCCTGCGATCACACCAGGCATTGGACGATGTCCACATGATGCGCGACGTGATTTGCTGTGCACCTTATTTGGCGCCTTCTCTTGCGCAGGACATCTCGCTTGCAGCCCATGGCAGCGAGTTTCCGAACGTGACCTACTCCGTCTGGCAACGGTTTCTACATCCGGTGCCTTGCAGCAAACCTTGTAGCCCCGCTCCTCACGCTTGGTGCCATCCTGTCGTTCAGAGCGTTCTGTTCATACAACCAGGTACAATGACAAGCACAAGCCCTGTTGGCATTGTCAATACAGCACCTCCGCCGCCACCGCAATTTGCAGCTCCCGCCCTCCAACCGCTCCTGCTGCAGCCCACAGCTCAGCACCCTTCCGAGCCCCAGCAGGAGGTCCAAACCCAGGCCTCCCAGACTGCGTCTTTCCCGTGCAATGCCGGTCCTCCGCCTCCATCGCCGTCCCCAGCCAGCAGCGCGAGCGACCATCTTCCCAAGCAACATGTTGCAGATGCAGAAGCGAGCTCCGGAGGCGAAAGCCGTCGCAGTAGTTCCGGCAGCATCGCCGGCGTCGCTGACAACCACCCCAGCTCCAGCCAAGGCAAGGGCGCTGGCAAGGTGGAGGACAAAGGAAAGGGCGGAAAGGGCGGAAAGGGCAAGACAGGCAAACCCCAGCCCAACCAGCAGCACCAGCTCCGCTATGCAGAAGGGTGGTGGCTTGGCATGGCTTGGCAAGACATCTAGCGAAGCATGTGAGCGCAATGGTGTATACCTGCAGTCTTTAGTATAGGCATGATGCCATCGTCCTACTTTATGTCTTTGCTGCACTGTTATCTGAGACGAAAAAAGGATGTCTGAATGCTGAGGTGGGATCCTGATGCGAACAATTGGGACCATGCCTGGGCTGGTGCCTGGTGGGGTTACCCTAGCTACGACGAATACTGGGCCTGGGCAAGTGGCTATGGCCAGCATCGGCCAAGGGGCCGGGCCAACCGCAACAATCGCCGCCGGCCCGCCCAGAGACCGGCGAATCAGGAACCCGCAAGTGAAAGTGTCACAAACGAGCCTGTAGCCTGGCAAAGGTCAGCATCGACAGTTCGGGTCTTATTCTTTGTGGGACAGGCCCTTGATTAGGAATTATATCTATGGTGCCCCTTGCTCAGGCGCCGGACGCGCCGAAAACCAGCAAGGAGATCGGGACTCTTAATTGGCAGTGAGCTGCAGGCAGCTGGCGACCTGTTCAGACAAACCTCGTCAAGTCCACCGAGGCTGGGCAAGTTGAGTTTGTGTTTGTTTTCAACTTGCTTGTTTTTATTGTTAAGCCCCTATGTGAGTCGACGCTGCCCATCTGAAAAGCTTCTTGCATCCCCCGCGGCCATACTATGCTAAACCCTTCATAGTCATAGGGTACCTTTTACTATACAGTGTTGCGCGGGATGTGGAAAGGACATTACCAGGACCCTAAACCTTAAAACCTAAACCGTACAATCACCAGACCTTAAATCCTAAACCCTATAAGCACTAATCCTAAACTCCTAAACCCTAAGTCCTAAGCAATATTACAGCCATTTGCCCAGGCCCAGCACGAAGAAACCCTGGGATGCTCGTGGTTGCCCCGAGTGCTCGGGCATATTTAGGGTTTAGGGTTTAGGGTTTAGGGGTTTTGGCCTCTGGGTGCAAATGTACTAGCTATGGCCAGAGCATTTTATCACTTTGTCAGTATAGTTGCACTTGCTTCTTGTTTCATGGCCTTCTGTGGCCGTTTGGCAGCTCCCTCGAAGGGAACGTAATCTTTCGATCCGACTTTATATGGGGCTGGAGATCACCCCCACCGCAACGCCAAAGATTATTCTGCTGCTTGCCTGTAGCGAGATTCTTGTGGGTCTTCATGAAACCATGGTCAGGATCGGTCCAAGTAGACAAGCCCCAGGTGTCATCGAGCAGGGAGACGGGCATTTTGAGATGCTGAGTACTCCTTACCTGCCATCCGTGCGGCCCAGCAGTCACTTGTACTGTTTTTTATTGCAAGAGTGGATCCATCGGGTGTTGTGTAGATGAAGAAGCAACCCGCAGGACATCGACCAGCAGCCGGAGGCCTCATCGCCGAGCTTCGATGGCGGACGCGTGCGGCTGAGGCAAGATGTGGCATGCCGCAGCTTTCGGCGTGTAGAGAATTAGGGTCCAAGGGCTGCAGTGTTCAAATGAGAGCGAGGTGAAACTTCAGACTTTGACAATGGTATCATGAATTTCCGTGGCGTTTTCCGACACGGCAGCTCATGATTCATACGTTGGCTGGGGGGGAGGAGTTGTGTCTTGTTTTGGCAGTAGTTCTTGTCTTATTTGGCGCCGATGCTGGTGCAATATCTTGTGGCGGCACTTCGATGTTCCTACATTACAAGTAGCTAGTAGTTTATCAGCATCTGCGAGCATTGCTGACTGCCACTTGTGTTGCTGATGGTGCTTCGGAAACTTGAGACTGCAGAACTACTTGATCTGGATCTCGATGCCGCGCTGCATGCGCAGGTGCCGTATAATTTGACGCTCCGCCGGGGGCCTGGACTGCCGTTGCAGTTTCCGTGTTGGCGTTGTATTTGTTTGGCTTGCAAGCATTGCGGCTGCAGGGTTGGGACTTTAGTGTAAAGGGTTGAGCAAGCAGAGAAAGAGCACAGAAGGTGGTGAAAGGCAAGCCTGCATGGAAGCACAGTGGTAGCTCCATCATGGACCATAGATGCTCACATCCCCCTTCGTTGTCAGGTTGCGTGTTCGTGTAAATAGTTTTGCAAGATCACTTCTAGTCCAGCTGTCAAAGTTGCCATCGCTATGATAAAAAGCTGCAGTGCTTCAGCTCCCCTACACACGGTGCGGCGGGGACGACGCGACGACCACGACCCGAAAAGGACGACGACTGCAATAGACTGCGACTACACCGACGACGACTGCGACTACGAGAAATCAACAATCATCGGGCGGTATTCCTAGCGGGGCAACAGGGAGTAAAGATGAAGATCGGGACCACCACCGCGAGCACACAAAGACGGTCAAGCTTATGATGACGAGCAAGGTGATGGTGGTGATGGTGCTGGGTTTGGTGGTGTTCCTGGTGATGGCGGCGGCCGTGGGGTGACGATGATCATCAACATATTCTTACTTTTGCTTTAATTTAAAATATCCTCCGCCACCATCACCATCTTGTTGCCCGTCATGAACACCATCAAGAGCCGTTTGTGTAGTATGTAACGCTTCGTGTTTGCACTGATGGTGCTTCTGCGATGCCAATTGTGGTTCGATCATGGCGTTACTGTTGTGGAGGTGATGGTGATCATGACCATGATGATGAAAATCATGGTTTTGATAGCGATCATGATCCCCCATGCTGCTGGTGATGTTGTTGATTGTGATGGTTTCGATGATGGGGCCGAGGAAGATGGATGTGAAGAATATGAGGATGATGACGATGGTGATGATGATGCCGACGATGCTGTGCTGATGTTGATGATATGATGATGTTGAATATGACGATGATGATGACGCAACAAATGAGTTATAGCAATTCTTACAAGCATGTGTGTTATCCTTGCTGGACGTTCCACTAGCATGCGGCATGGGCAGTGACAGTCGGCAGTCTTCATACTGTGATCATTTATGGCAGGATTGCACTTGTCCTTTGCATCCGCGCCCAAACAGTTCACGAAGATCCATGCACGAGCCCGAATGACTCCCCGACATTGCCGAACGGTGTCTGATCCGGGTTTTCCGCAGTTTGCCCAAGGCCTGGATGTCGGCGTGGAGACCTTCCGCCCTGCGAGCTTCCGAATTCAACATGGCGGCCCTGCATCTGGAGACCGCCAACGACGCTGCAATCTTGGGTTCGTATTTCTTTAGCGGCATACATCGAGGACATATTCCGGCCCCAGTGCCCTCATGTCTGATCCAGCTCCGCTGCTATTCGCTCTGCTACGGCTGACCGATGCGCCGCAGCCGATTTCAGGTTTCATTGCATAAGACTACAATCCTGTTTCACGCTTTCGTGCCAAGTCGTATCATTGTGGCCGGCCATGTCGTTGAAGCCAAAAATGTAACTTGAAAGCTTCCACATGCAAACACGCAAACACACACACACACACGCACACAAACACACACACACACACACGCGCGCCCGCGCACACACACACACACATGCACAACGCACGCACAAACGCACACCGACAAACACACAAGCACACAAACAAAGACAGACACACTGACAGACATACGGCACCGTGCGTTTGGCTAGAAGCAGCCAGCTTTCGGCAAAACGCCATGGAGCAATCTTTGCACGTGGTGCTGCTGAGTGGCCAGGCAGCCACTGTCAAGGTGCGACGCAGGAAGGAGGTTTGTCTGGGTTTTGCACAGGTTCATTATGTTTCAAATCGTGGCTTATAGTTATGTTGTTGTGCATGAGGTTTCGCAGCCTCTGGTGGTGAGTAAATTGAGTAGAGGGCGCGAAGCTGCGTTCACTTTATTCTACTTCTCAGGCAATTTATGTAACTCGGATGATGCTTTCTCCGAGGGTCTAGCAGTCTACGAGCGAGGTCCTCGTGGTATTTTCGGTGGGTTTGGATGCCAAGATTCGTCATCGAAGCTGCGACTTTTGAACCTTTTCGGTGTTTACTGTACGGTACGGTAAAATACACTGCATGAAAGAAAGTATAGTGTAGTAAACAGTGTAGTATAGTATGGTATGGTACAGTACAGTACAGTATAGTTTGGTCTAGTCTAGTCTATTGTAGTCTAGTATAGTATAGTACAGTATAATGTAGTATATCAGGTTATAGTAGATCATAGTAAATAGTACAGTATGAATATGTATCCGAAGCCCTGCGTTGGCATTCTGGAGCGTGAGAAGGTTCATGACAGATACGGCTCGGGTGTCTGCCTGTGTCTCTCGAAAGATGTGTGTGATTGTGTGTGCATGGGAACACGGAAACCTTTAGTAGCCGAGAACATGATGAGTACTGTTAGTTTTCGGTGGTGATGCCGAATTTGTTTATTCGTATTAGGTGTCGGTGTACACAAGTAGCAAGAAATCACCGCTCAGGTGGCCCCGAACACGCCGCTCTTCGAGGCATCCGGAGCACTCTCAGCTTCAATGCTCGGGGAATTGTCAACCCTGAATGCTCTTGAACCCTGCAAGTCTAATTTAAACTTCGTCTGCGTCCTGAGTCATAGAGTTCCCGTGCCAAATCCCCAGCCCTACGCCCAAGCTCTACACTCCAGGAGCCCCGATCCGAAGCTCCAACTCACAACTACCTCGATTTTTCGACCAGCAACTCCGCGGAGTCTGAAACTTAGCTAGGCAGATATGGGGCAGGAACTTGTAGTTGGCTACTAGCCATATATTCCCTTCAAACTCCTTCTCATTAAGATCGAGTCCCCTGTACCTTAAATCCTCACTCACACTGGTTAGGTAATCGGAGCCCTTCGGAAAGCAGGTGAAATGGCAGGCCCAACAGGCCTTGAATTGCCGCCTAGATGTTCTCGCACCATGGCTTTGACAAAGAGTGCTTTCGAGGTTGAGAGGTGGTATGTCCGAGTTTGGGGTCTAGACTCATGGCGTTGTACTTAGTGTTTGGGGGTGTAAGGTTTCGGGTGCAGAAGGAGTTGCAGCCGTTTGAGGCGAAAAGGACGGACAGTTTAGGCATAGATTGCAGGTTTGGGTTCATACGTTTCATGAGCCTAACACGGTTTGAGCTCTTGCAGGCTCGGGCTCTTAAGAAGCATCTCGGAGAACGTATTTCTGAATGCATCCTTGCATGCTTTGAATGGTCATGCAAGTTATGCATGGTTCTGGTCTACCTAGGGCAGCAGCATTTCGCAGCATCTTTGATGCTTCCATCAGGAGGACGAGGGAACATGAGAGCCCGTCAGGGCATGCCAGTTAACCCAGCCAGGTGATTCCAGGGTGCCCGACCAGAACATGGGTTTCCAATATTCCACAGCCTCAATGCTGCATATTTCCCGGATGGATGTTGCATATTCGAAGTCCTTAAGCTCCCTTGCTCTCCCGCTTTCACTTTCAGATTCGACAGAGCGGCTGCCGACTTCGGGAAGCCTCCAGCATGGAGGACAGTGTGCGATCAGACAACTTCGGTTACGAAGCCCGGGGCGACAGGCTTGTTGTCTCGTTTATATTGTTCCCTCTCTCTTTCTCTCTCTCTCTCTCTCTTTTTACCTCTCACTCAGGACAACATGTGTGCGTGGGTGTATTGCATCGAACTATACAAGTATGCAAGTTACATCACATCGTCCACACTTCCAGAAAATCATGCAGCCGCAGCTGCAGAAAGTCGACCACGAAGAACGTGGTAGTGATGACATCTTGATTAAACATCAGATTGTCACCAATGCAGAAAAGATCAGACCCCTAAACCCTAACCCCCAAACCCTAAACCCTAAAACCCTACAGGAGAATCTTCCCAAACCCCAGGCGCCCTTAAGTCCCAAACATCAATACACCCCGTACGAAAGGACCCCTTAAGGGAACCCGAACCCCTTAGCGGGCCCTTAAAGGAACCCCTAAGCCGCCCCTTCAAGCACCCCTTAAGGGAGCTCATAGACACAGCCCCAAAGATTACCCGCAGTGGTCGTGTGAGGAGCTGGGGCTCGAGGATGGAGAAACGTTGAGTGCGGCGACTTTGCGGAGGATCGACTTTGGGCCTTTGTTCTCGGGCTTAGATTGGGTTGGCATGGCAAAGCCTCAAATCCAAAGCCCTGCATGTGTTGAAATTTCTTCACTGTATGCAGCACACTGAGCCGCATACTCCCAACCACAAGTCCTGTAGATGCTAACCTTTCTGCCATCCATTCTGATCTCCTGGAAGCATTGTAGTTCAAGTAAGTTAGAACCTCATGCCATGCTTATTATGACCTACGTTTTAGCAGTCAGGACTTATCTTCGAGGTCAAGGACAGCAAGTCCTAATTTGATCCAGTTTGCTTTCTGTTCCTCTCTCGTCGTGACGATGTACGCTTGGGGCAGGCCACCCCCTGCAAACCGCCTGGCGCATGTTGCTCGGACTGTACGTGATCTGGGGAGGATGCAGTTTGCATATCTACTTGTTGCTGGGACGGTGAGAGTCGTGTGTGAGTTGTGGCTCGATCTCAGTTTCGTCGAAACACAACAGCGCCCGGTAGGTTTCC